CAATTATCATATTTTCCAAGTTTCAAGCCTAGGGTTAATTTCCAATTTCTCTAATATCATAAGTCTGATGAAATTTATATAATATAATATGCCTAATATTTAATTATGTATACCAATACATCACTGTCAAGCTACGAATAAGCAAATCAATTCACTGAAGACCATAGATTACAGAACCTATGCACCATATACTTTTCAATCTCATCTTGACCCCATTATTACTTAATCAATGCCTCAATATAAATCATTATTAGCCAATCATGACATCAAACAATTTCCTCCCCCAAAACATCAAAAGAACGATCCAGCAACATTAGTTGCACTTCACTTTGCAATATTAAATTTTATTACTCTACATTCTATATTTATTAATGCTTAGTACCAATATGAAACGTGAGATCAACCTTACCTAAAGCCAACCGTGCTTGTGTTGATAGGGCTAGATAGGTTATCGCCTCTTTCTCCCTTTCTTTTCCTTTTTCCCGTCTGAAATTTTGACCCTATTCCGTTTGTTTGTTTTTCTTTTTCCCATTTTGCTGACCTTAACAATTTAGGGCTTTTGACCTTAATTCTTTATTTATTTATTTTCTATTATTATCAACATAATAATCCTTTATTAAATCTGAAAATCATGTCACTCATTTTTATAAGTCATAAATTAATTATAAAAGCTACTAAAAAGGTTAATATAAAAATAATTATTAAAATTCATAAAACAACTAAGAGGGTTGTTACATAGAAAGTGGGAAGATGAATTAATATTTTTTTTATAGTAACAATGAGAAGAAATAAAAAAATAAATATAACAGGTTGCAGTAATATCACGAAAAAAGAAAAATAAAATATTTGAGATTTATTTTTTATTCAAATTTTATAAATTAAAGGAAAAAAACTTAATAAGGAAAAAAGCTTATTAAGGAAAAAGAAAATTTTGTGAATAAGAATAATTAATTATGGTAATAAATTGGAGAGATAAAAAAATAAAAAATTAAGAATTATAAAAATAGAAGGTAGAAAATGTAGTAAATTGTAGTAGCAATGATGAGGAGAGATCAAAAATAAGATATTTTAAATATATATTTTCTTAAATTGAGACATCAATCTTCAGTGATAACTTTAAAATAATGATATCAACATATAATTATTTATTTCATGTTCATGCCATTGATATTTTCATGGATGAGTGCTTGAAGTTAAATTACATCCATGGATATCATTGAAAATCTTAGTAGTATTTTTAATTAAATCCATAAAAATCATTTAAATCCAAAGGTTTATGTAGCGCCATATCATGATCTAATATGTGTGGATTACTTTCTATACAATAACATCATACTAAGCAATTTTTGTCCACCTTTCCCTTTATTTATATAACAAATCAGTAACACAACCAAGTGCGTACCTCATATTTTACCCTCTGACAAAGACTCTCAAGCTCTCTCGCGATACTCTCTACAATTTTATCGAATTAATAAAAAAAATACAAATTCAACCTTTCTGCCTATTTTTTCTCAAAATGTCTTACACTTATTTTTACATCAAGATTTAACAATTTCATAAATAATCTCTTTATTTAAAAGAATAAATGGAGATCACAACCAATGGAAAAAGTTATAAAATACACTTATTTTTTAATTTCAAAATATTCACGTTGATCTACATGATCAATGTGAAAACTTATCTATATATATTCCTCTACACCTTTTTATTTACTATATCTCCATAATAAATTCATACCATATATTTCATAATAAATAAATAAAAACAATACGAATCCCCAACTTTCCTTCAATTATTTACAAAATTTTCACACTTACCTTTACACAAACATTTAACAAATCCAAACAATTAATACAATTAAATGGTAGCACAACCAATAAAAAAAAAATGGTATAAATACCACAAACAAAATAATAAAGATCCACACACACCATTTATCTTCATAGTCACCATCGGCTCATAGTGGTTAATTGAGGTTAGTTTTTCAATATCCAATATTATTATATGGAACTTACCATTTATTGCAATACTCTATCTTTAGTTTGACTTTGACAAATACCTATACAGAAGTACTACAATGGATAAAAAAATATAAAGATCGGCCAAATAATTAGTTCAGAGAATTGTCAAGGTAAAATATTAATGATAATATTCATGACTATATTAAATTGTTCTTCTAAATATTTATTTTTGAATACAGGTACAATTGAACAATCAAGCAAATCGGTTAAAGTGATGTATGAAAATATTATGCAAGAGCGAATTGCATATTTCAGAAAGGAACAAGAGCAATTGAAAAAATATATATACAGAGGAGTTTCACAAGATCAAACAAACAAAGAATGACATGATGTCTTTCATGTATTGATTTCTATGTAATTGGGAGCTGAAATAAATTATGGTTAGAGAATATATTCTTTTAATTAGGTTCGCCTTTCTGTTCTAGCATTTTGTTTGAATATTTTTATTTTTAAATTGAAGAGTACCGATTAAGAAATGGGTAATTACTAATAAATACGTAATTAAGTAACTATTTTTTTTAACCCAAGATAATTTGCATCTCTGCCATATCCTCTGACATTCAGGTGAGCACTCTGTGGTGAACACTTTATGTATATTGAGTAAACCTCATTTACTGTGTGATAGCCTGCAAATCATACGGGAATAACAAAAAAAAAATTATTAAAGCAAACCATGCAAAATCCCTTTGACATTTTCTTTTTTAATTAAAATAGAGGTAATATCAAGGGGTAATATTGTTATAATATTTCAATAAAACCTTGGCAGCTTCAATTGTAATAATCTTCTCGTTTACGTGAGATGATTTAAAGCATGAAGGCTAAATTATCTAATTTTTATGTGAAGTTGGGCATAAATTTTTCAGATTTTTAAAAAAATAATAATTTAACTTATTTGTAAATTATATTAAAAATATTATAAATCATAATAATGTCATAAAAAATATATTTTTTAAAATGAAACAAAATCATTTAAAAATTTCATTTAAAAAAAGACTCCTTATGATTTAGCTAAATATGACATATTATGATTCAAAAATTTCCATGAACCAACTCCAACTTCGATACACTTATTCATTAGAATTTTTTCTAGTTACTTCTTCATAATTCGAACACTTTTAATAAAATATGTAATAAGCTTGTAAATATCTAAGATAATACTATAATAATACAATTATAACAAACTATGAAGCAATAATGTAATATAAATATAGAGATTAAATTATTATTAGCCATATGTATGAAATGTTGTTATGAGCCATTAATATAGTGTCTGATTAGAAATCAACAGCTTCTGAATAATAATAATAATAATAATAATAATAATAATAATAATAATAATAATAATAATAATAATAATAATAATAATAATAATAATAATAATAATAATAATAATAATAATAATAATAATAATAATAATAATAATAATAATAATAATAATAATAATAATAATAATAATAATAATAATAATAATAATAATAATAATAATAATAATAATAATAATAATAATAATAATAATAATAATAATAATAATAATAATAATAATAATAATAATAATAATAATAATAATAATAATAATAATAATAATAATAATAATAATAATAATAATAATAATAATAATAATAATAATAATAATAATAATAATAATAATAATAATAATAATAATAATAATAATAATAATAATAATAATAATAATAATAATAATAATAATAATAATAATAATAATAATAATAATAATAATAATAATAATAATAATAATAATAATAATAATAATAATAATAATAATAATAATAATAATAATAATAATAATAATAATAATAATAATAATAATAATAATAATAATAATAATAATAATAATAATAATAATAATAATAATAATAATAATAATAATAATAATAATAATAATAATAATAATAATAATAATAATAATAATAATAATAATAATAATAATAATAATAATAATAATAATAATAATAATAATAATAATAATAATAATAATAATAATAATAATAATAATAATAATAATAATAATAATAATAATAATAATAATAATAATAATAATAATAATAATAATAATAATAATAATAATAATAATAATAATAATAATAATAATAATAATAATAATAATAATAATAATAATAATAATAATAATAATAATAATAATAATAATAATAATAATAGATATGTTAGAGTCATGCTTTCCTAATTTATGCCGACCATGTTATAAAGTTATTTTATTTGGTGTTTGTATCACAATTTTTTATTAAAAAAATTCTGGGCAGGTTTATTAGCTATTCATCATGAAATCGACATTACTTTAAATTTGTTGCCGTGCCGTCATTATTGATCTTATCTGTTTATCAATAATATTATTATTATTTATCCACCATTTAAAAGAAAATAATTATGCACCTCCACAACGTAACGCATGCCATTACATTATTATTATATTTATTAGTATATGTTTAAGAGGAGAATTTAACATCAACTTGAGCACGCAACTCACTTTTAGTACAACCTTCCATCCACAGACATACGGGCAGTCAAAGAAGACTATTCAAGTGTTAAAAGACATGTTAAGGGCAAGTGTGATTGATTTTGAAGGACATTGAGATAAATTCATATCATTGTGTGAGTTCTCCTATAATAATAGTTACCACTCCAGCATTGATATGACACCATTTGAGACACTCTATGAGAGGGGTGACACTATAAGAAAAAATAAATCATATAAATTGTGACTAAAGAATTATACAATACCTTGAGTGAAGGAGGGGTTTCCAGCACCAGTAGAGGGGATTGGTGGACCAAGTAATTGACAGCTCCCTTGCACTCAACATATAACGCTTTTTACTTGTTGTCCAGTCTATTGAAAAGCTCTGGAATATATGTTTCAACAGAAATAAGAAAAATAAGAGGACGCAATATATATGTTAAAAATAAGTATATTTTTAAAAAATATTTTCTAAAGTTTGATAAGTAAGCTGAACATATTATTCCTATAATAGTATTCATATGGGGAGCAAGTGAGTGTAAGGCAGTAAGGGTAAAGGTATCTGATTTTGAATGAACTTATAGTTTAGTTTCCCAAAGAAAATATCTTGATCAACTAAATATGAGAAAATTAAAAAATCAGTACTTTTTTCTTCATACCAAGAAATATTATCCTCTTGAAAAAAAAAGAATCATCTCATTGTTCATGTTAATTGACACCAAGAATAGAAATAAAGCAAGTCACGTTGCGCACGCACCTTGCTACCACCATCAATGAGAAGAGGTTTAAAGAGTTTAAGAAGCAACTCTTTCTTTGACGGAAATGCAATTGGCAACACTAATCTTTCGATGATTTCTCAATAATCAAAGGGCAAGAATTTCTCCCATAACAAGTCCGATAGGGCTGCATCACGAATCATAGTCGAAACCAAAGACAATTGAGAAGCATCACGAGGAGACATGAACGATAGGATTTGAACGATACAATCTTCTGGTAAGAGGTCTAGTTTCATCTCTTTTTTATCTGTCATCATGAGAACTTTTTGAGTATATAATAACTTAGAAATTAAATAATGGAGAAGCTAAGGTACGTAATGAGAGATTATAAGGCCAAAAAATTGGTATAGCTTTGTTCAAGATGACGACATGTAATTAACATATGAGGACGTAGACTTGAAAAAACACATGAGGCCAAATTTATAATTCTAACTTGTAACATTTGACCTTTAAAGTGAGATAACTTGTAAGATTTGGCCACATGAGATTGAAAAAATAAAAATTCCTTCATTTGTTGAAATTATCAAAAAAAAATAAAAATCATTTCTTACTATCTTAATTATTGTTGTTCATCTTGTATTCCTAAGATACTTAGAACAAAACTTTGAAGAATTTGATAAGACACAATAAAGTTTAAGAACATTTTCACAACTAGAAAATTAAAACTAGTAGAGAAGCTAGAATCAGAAACAGATTAGAAAAAATATATGAAATATTTTTTCTTAAAGAAGAATTGTTGTCAATCTGTGTTTAAAGAATCTTACTGATTCCAACAAACTTTGCAGAAACACGAAGTTACCAAAGTTTAATGCACCAGTGAAGAACAGAAGAACATAAATTAATTCACAAATCTAAAATCTGTAACACATACCAGAATCTGGAAAAACAGAAAGAAGATCAAGCCCACCAAATGCACAGTGTCCCCTTAAGGAAATTATTCCCCTCTAGTATCCGAGGTTTGATTTGGAATATGTCCTCCCAGGATAGAATGATCTCAATCACCAGTGTATTGATACCCAAAACGCTGGTGTCAGTGAGCCACTCAACGGCAGTAAAGTACACTTAGAATCTACATTTAGTAGTAGAAGAAGAAGTCCAGAAATTGGTTCTTTTAAAATGAGAGGAAATCCCTCAATTTATAGAAAACAAAGGGTAGTGTGAAAAAGTTCTTATTGTGCCTTACCGGAAATGCCACAAACCTTTGAAAAGTCACAATCTTTCGAAAAGAACACCACCTTTCATAAAAGTCACAACTTTTCATAAAAGTCACAACTTTTGATAAAAGTCGCAACTCTTCATAATAGTCACAACTTTTCATCAAAGTCACAACTCTTCATAAAATTCGCAACTCTTCATTTTCCATTCACACCTTTTAAAACCCAACAATCCCCTGCATGAATGGGGAATGACTCCAAGACAAAGAAATTGGCAAGTATGTGTACTTTACAAGCAAGAATTAATTGCATCTGGATAAGTAGGTTTCCCCTTGGACTTTCCGTAGTGAACATATGTCGGATATACTTGGTCAATTGGTAGATGCAATATATCTGAACCGTCGAGCTTTGGTGTATACCTAGACAACCATATGTCACACAATTAACCTTTTACCGTTTATGGTTCTTACGATTGTGTTCGTTTCAACCATGAACACCTCCTGGTTTCATGAGTGTATAGAGAATAAGCTTTTGACAATAATTCTCTTTGAAGCGGCTTACACTTCACACCCACATAGGTGATTTCTAACCGTGTTATCGCGTAGATACACTATTTGGTCAAATATGCCAAACTTAGCAAATCATTAAAAACATTAAGCTTTAGTAACTCATTAACAAGCCCTAATGTTGTATCCTTGTTCCTGAGCATTGTCTTCATCATGAAAAATGGATTGAGTTTGTTGACAATGTCGAACCGTCAGTCACAACTTTGTTTTTCTCCTTGAATCTAGGTCTTGGGATCTCCAGTCTGCTAGATAGAGTTACCGCCATGATGACTTGTCCTAAGCCGTAAACCCATTCCCTTAGATGATCTTTAAACTTTCTCTTTAGTTAGGCCATTTTCTAAGTGGATCCGACACATTATCCTTTGACTTTACATAGTCAATTCTGATAATTTCACTAGAGAGTAGTTTTCTAACGGTATCTTGTCTATGTCCTATATGACGAGACTTTCTGTTATACATCATTCTCCATGCCTACCTATTGTATCTTGACTATCAAAGTGTATGCATACTAATGCCAATGGTATGGGCCAAAAAAGAATATCTATCAAGAAATTTCGAAGCTTTTCAACTTATTCACCGACCTTATTTAGAGCACCTAGCTTAGAGATCATTGTAGAGCTAGCGATACATGTCTTTGTTTTTTTTTGGAATATTTCCAAGAGACTGCTCCTCTACCAAGAGTAAATACATATCCACTCGTGGATTTCACTTCATTTGTCCGGTGATCCAATTCGCATCACTATATCCTTTCAATATTGCTGGATATTGTTATAATGCAAGACATAGTTTTAAGTATTTCTTAAATACTCCAAAACTCTTTTCATTGTCATATAATGAGTTCGATTGGGATCACTCGTGAACTGACTTAGTTCATTAATAGCAAATGCTATATCTGATCGCACACACTTCATGATATACATCATACTTCCCAATACTCTAGCACAATCCAATTGTGAGTCACTTTTGCCTTCACTCTTTTGAAATGCAAAGCTCACATTATTGGAGACTTGACAATATTGAAATTCAAATATTTGAACTAGTCAAGTACCGTTTCAATGCAATGAGACCGCGAATAGGCTAAACATTATGGAGTTCTAAGGATTCTTATACCTAAGATCGCATCAGCAACTCCAAGATTTTTCATTCCAAACTTGCTTTCTAGCATACATTTCGTAGCATTTATGTCATTAGTGTCTCTATTGATGATCAACATATCACCAATTATACAAACAAACAATGACCTTGTGATTTTAATGTGCACATATTTATCACTTCCATCATTCTTAAATCCATTTACCTACATAGTTCAGTCAAATATCTTATGTCATTGTTTGGGCGCTTGTTTTAGTCCATAAAGTGACTTAACAAGTTTGTACACTTTCTTTTCTTTACCAGGAACCACAAAATCCTCGGGTTGTCCATGTAAATTTCTTCCTCCAATTCTCCATTTAAGAGAGTTGTTTTCACATTCATTTGATGAATTTGGAGGTCATATACCACAACTAACACAATTAACATCCAAATGAATGTAATTCTAGTTACTGGCGAGTATGTGTCGAAAAGATCAAGACCTTGTTTTGTCTTGCTTTAATTTATATCTGTCAACAGTTCCATCGACTTTCATTTTCCTTTTGAGGATTCACTTTGAACCCAAAATTTATTTCCTGGAGGAAGATCAACCAACTTCCAATAGGATTGCTCAAGATTGAACCAATCTCGCTATTAACACCATCTGTCCAAAAGGATGAGTCTACAGAAGACACAAGAAATGTTACAAAATCATATTCGAAGAAAGTAGATGTCCTTTGACATTTACTACACCTCGGAATCTCTTTATTAAGTACATTCTCATTTTGTTCTTTCCAAGGTCGTTTAGACCTTTCACTAGACTACTCAAGTCTAATATTACAGTCCACTGTCTTAGGTCCTATTTTAATCTTTTTAGGAATAGGAACTTGGACTTTGGCTAGACACCCCACACTTTGAAATATTTCAAGTTGGATTTCCTTCATTTCCATTTCTCATATGGAATAGATTGTGTCCTGGAAAAATAAAACTTTTATTGCTTTCTTTATGAAAAGGCAAAACTTTGTGTTGTTCCCTTTTGCAGTAAGGATAGTTCCTCCACTCAAGTTTTGTGGTAAAACCAGAACTTATAAGTAATGCATTGATCATTTCCTTCAAAGTTCAGTTTTTTTCCCCATTAAATTGAGGTGAATAGGGCAGCAGTTTGATGGATAATTCCACTTTTTTTTTTTTTTCATTAGATTGAGGTGAATAGGGCAGCAGTTTGATGGATAATTCCACTTTTCAAACATATTTTTGCAAAATGAGATTTATACTCTCCATCCCTATTACTTCTTATCTTTTTCCCAACTGATTTTCAACTTCAATATTGTATTGTCTATATGTTTCTATTGCTTCATCCTTACCATTCAGCAAATAGACATAGTCGTTTCTAATGCAATTGTCAATGAAAGTTATGAAATACTTTTTTCCACCACGAGATGGTGTTGACTTCGTATCACAAATGTCAGTGTAAATCAATTCTAAGGGATTAGAATTCCTTTCAACAGATTTATAAGAATGCTCAGCATACTTAGATTTCTCACAAACTTGACATTTTTTATTTATTGCACTCAAAGTTAGACAAAACTTTTAAGTTGATCAGTTTTCCTTACAAGGTTTTGTAATTGACATGTCCCAAGTGTTCATGTCACAAACAGTTTGACTCAAGCAAGTAAGAACAAATAAAATATTGAGTTTGAAAAGCTTTCCGCGAGGTAGCTTTTTCTCACAGATATTTGTTCCTATTTCTTACAATTTTGTATGGCACAAACATTGTTTAGAGTCATCACCTTATCAAATGTCCTTTTCAGCAGGACCTTTCCATAACATTCAATTTGATTGTTATAGAACTACCCATGAACAAAGTTTCATTAGGTCCAATAAAGGCAATATAGTCCAAATGTTTCTTTTACAAAACATAACGAATAACTATTCACCAATATTCATGTCTATGCAAATACTTTTATTAAAATATACATATCTTTTCATGAAAAATCACAACATTTTAAGTGACACTTTTTCATAAAAGAACACAATTATTTTGAACAAGTATATATATAATTTGGTAGTTTCATACTAGTCACATCATATACTAGTAATAGAGAAACTCAACAACCACAATACCAAATATACTCCAAGAATTTTGTGGGTCTAACATAATACAAAAGTATCATTGAATTTCATATCTTTTACTCCAAAATTAAATTAGACACCAAGTCTAATTTTGTCTTTATCATAAGCAAAGAACCCCCACATTTTAAATGTGATCTCAAAAATATTTTTCAAGTATTCGAAAATAGTTTTTCCACATATTTTTCCAAACTATCAAAATGTCATTGGCAGTATGAAACCTCTTTTGGAAATATTATTCTACAAAAGAATTATATTGCTTCAATTCTCTTTGACAATCTTTACATAGTGTCAAAGTTCATTCCATAGAGGCACAAAATCACAAACTCTAAGTTACTGGTATTTTTCCCTCTATCACAAATAGACATACCACTTTGTATTTAGAATACTAACAATAAAGACAAAATTTTTTTGTACAA